CCCTGGGGCAGCCTGTCTGCTTCACATGGAGGCCCCCTCCCCAGGTCCCACCTGCTGCAGGTGCGGTAATGGCTTTACGACAGCCTGGGCTGTCCTCCTCCTCACCGGCTCCCAGCAGTTACCCAGCAGAGCACCTTGGGGAGGGTGGGGCAGCCCACTTCCGGGGAGGGGGAGGGAGAAGGAAGTTGATCTAAACCCGCCTCTTTCTCTGTCTCCCTTCCTTCCCGTTCCCCTCCGGCCCCTTTCCTCCCACCTGGCTCCTGGGTGGTGTCCGAGGGCTGCCTGGGGTTCCTGGCCACCAGGCCCCGGCCTCCAAGAAGCCGCGGGGCTCTGTCCCCGTCCCTCTCCTTGCCAAGCCCGGGCTCTCTCTGCTAGTGGTGGTTTCGGTTGCGACACAGTCCAGGTTCCCAGAGCTGCTCGGCCTGGCTGCTGCGCTCTTTTTCATTGAGGAGGTGGTGGAAGGTGTCGCCTGCTTCAGCTGAGTAAGGGTGGCTGACGGCGCCAGCAGCCCCCGCCCTGGGCCTGGCTCTTCCCGGCCTCTGTACTTTGCCCTCACTGCCTGACAGGTTCTGCTCTGGGCTCTGCTGAATGGAAGTCGCTGGTAGTCCTTGTCCCTTTCTCCAGCCGGGTATGTTTCCCTCTGTTTTCTGGGGATTTTTTGCTGTGGAATTGCCCCCTCCTCTCTCATCCCTCCCACCCCAAACACAGGGTCTTTGAGGAGTTGCTAAGTGGAGCCAGGCACTGACTAGCACAAGGCGTGCGCTTCCTGGGAAGAGGCACGGGCTCAGAAACGAGGGGCAAGTCGCCAGAGCAGTCTGCCCTTAGGTGGAGTCGGCAGGCCTGGCCAGACTGAAGGGACGGAACGGGACAGGCCGAGGCCCCGGGCGGGGGCACGAGTGCCACAGTGAGGGGAGAGGGAGCGGGGGCGGCCCCCCAGGGCCAGTACCCAAGGACACCTCTCCTCCACTCCGCAGGGCCCAGGCGCACTCTGCCTCTGGCCTGGGAGTGCCTGTCACCCTTCCCAGCTTGGCCCCTTCCCGGCCCTGGGGACGCCTCGGGACACTTGAGGCCAGCCCTGAGTGCAAGGCCCCAGAGCGTGAGGTTTTCTTGGGAGGAACTGTTGACCAGAGCCTCCAGCGTTAGGGAAGGGGCCCTGCCTACCTGAGTCAGCGCCGGGCCGCTCGGGGTGGAGGCTGTCTTCCGGACAAACCTGGCAACACGCCTAAGCCAGGTTCTGAGATCCCAGGTTGACGGGCCCACTGGATAGAAGACTTTGTTTTTCTTCATCTTCATGCTTCTTGAATGAGGACCACAAAGCTGCTTAGGCCCGACTTCTCAGGCCTGCTAAGTATCATGCGTGTTTTGCTCTTTGGTTCCAAATCCTGCCTCCCAGGGTGACCCCTTGTTTCTGAAAGCTGCCTGAGGGCCATGGTGTCTACTTTCAACAGACTTCCTGAGACCTTTGGGGCCTGTCCATTCTGTAATGTTGGCCAGAGCTTGGAGGATGTAGTGTTCCATGTCTCTGTGGGCAAGGAGGTTGGAGGTGGGGGGCAGAGTGTGGTTCTGGCCAGATCCTGTTTAGTTGGCTCAGAAGGCCAGCCAGTCGTCAGCCTCCCACCTTGTTGGTTAGCTCTGTGTCCAGGTTACATGGGCTAGTCAGAGCCGTGGAAGGGGCCCTATCTCCATGGTCGTAGCTGCACCCCTGCCTCTGCTTCAGCCTTCAAAGAAGCCACCTGGGGCAGGGCCCTGGTCCAAGGAACATTTCCTACTGAGGACTTTCTCTTTTCTCTTCTTCCTTCCGTACCCTCTCTCCACTCTGTCCCTCATCCCTGCTGTGGGAACTGTGTCTCAACATGGAAGAGGCAGAAGGGGTGAGAGAAGGACTGTGTCCTTGGCATCCTCAGAGTTGGATGGTTTGGTCAGAAAGGCGAGTGTGTGACTTGTAGAGCAGGGGAATCAAAGAACACGCCCCAGCGTTTTCTGCTTCTTTGGGACCCAGATAGGCGGAAGCTTCTCTTTGACTGTCCTGGAGACCTCGCTTGGAACTAACCCTTTGCAGCTGGCGAGTCCCCTCCTGTGAAGGCAAGGTGGCCGAAGCCCAGCTGGGATCTCTCCCCAGCAGGGACATCTCCCCAGCCGGGGGACCCTACATCTCTTGGCCTCCATCTGAGCTGCAGCTGGATGAGGACTACTTGACTTAGATGTGAAAGTCTTGTTGACCATGAGACTTCTGGCTCTGCAGACAGGCTGTGTAGCATTTGAAGTGAAGTGAAAATCACTCAATTGTGTCTGACTCTCTGTGACCCCATGGACCCTAGCCTTCCAGGCTCCTCTGTCCATGGAATTCTCCAGGCCAGAATACTGGAGTCACCCAGCTGTTCCCTTCTCCAGGGGATCTTCCCAACCCAGGAATTGAACCCAGGTCTCTCTCATTGCAGGCGGATTCTTTACCATCTGAGCCACCAGGAGAACCAAAAATAATGATTATTGTGGTTGTTCTTTATTAAGCATTGGCTAGATGGTTGGATGGCATCACCGACTCGATGGACATGAGTTTGAGTAAACTCCAGGAGTTGGTGATGGACAGGGAGGCCTGGCGTGCTGCAATTCATGGGGTCACAAAGAGTCGGACACGATTGAGTGACTGAACTGAACTGAAGGCATTTTACATGCTGTCACCTAATGAATGTGAAATAGGACAGTTTCATCGCTGCTTTACAGATAAGAAACTAATGCTAGTAAATAGGGGGAGCCTGGACTAGAACCTCGGTCTGCTGGACAGAGCTCCTCGGCAGCCACTAGACCATCTACTGGCACCCACACATGGGATCATCCCAGGTTGGTCATCTTTTAGGATTTCTTCCTGCTTTGTAGTAATCTCATCTCCCTCGTAAGGACATTGTTGATGATAGTAAAATTAACATGTGTTGAGTAAGAGGCGACCTGGGACCTGAACCCTGGCAGTTTGTCTCTCCACCTGTACTCTTATCACACCTCTCTGTTCCAGTATGGAGGACAGTTGTTGCTGTGCCTTGAAGATAGTGTGCAGCTGAGCCTGGGAGGGAGGAGTGGGGAGAGGGTGCTGGCCTGCTGTGCCGCGCAGAGCAGCCCCTGGGCTGAGGAACGTGGAGACAGAGGGGCGGAGCTCAGGATGGGCAGTCAGATGCCCAGAGTTAGCTTCAGGGAGTGAAGGACCCAGGCCCTCAGGGCGACACTGAATTCTCATTCCAGAGTTTGAGGACTTGGCGACTGCCAGGCTCCTGCTGCCTTTGGCTCATATCCTCAGAAAATAGGGGAGTGACCAGAAACTTAGGAGGTGAATTAGAGGTTGCCAAGGAAACTTTTCCACCCATCTTCCTCTCTTGGAAGTGGGGGCAGAGGGAAGTTTTTCCTTGTTCGTGGCCCCTTAGGGCTGAAAAGCAGCTGGTTGGGGAAGCATGCTCCTTGTCAAGGAACCCTGGACAGTTCCTTGGGCGGTAGCAAGTCATTTCTTTGTGGTTTTTGAGGGTTTCACCGAGAGCCAGAAAGGACCGTGAAAGAAAGAATTTCGAGACACACTTCTCTGGTCCCACTGCTCCCTTCCAGATTGTATCCTTGAAGTTTCCAGGGCAGCTCTGGATGGTTCTGGGACGGGGCTCTGGCTGCCCTTGATCTGCATGATGCTGGAGCAGTGGCATCAGGTGCTCTGAAGAGGCAGATCAGGGTTCTTGACTAGCGTTAGACCCTTAATAGTTTGATTGAGATGTAATTCACATCCCATACAATTCACCCTTTCAAGTGTATGCTAAAGGGGCTTTTAGTAAATTCATGGAGCTGTGTATCCATCACCACAGTCAGCATTTCATTAGAATTTTTTCATGACCGCAGAAAGAAACCTCAGCCCTTAGCTGTCATCCCTAAGGCCCCTCATCTTCCTCAGCCATAGGCCTGTCTCTTTTTTTGTCTTTGGATTTGCCTACTCCGGAGTAGGCGTTTCATATAAAGGGAGTGTACAGCCTGCAGTCCTTCGTGGCCAGTCTTGTTCACTTAGCATAACATTTTCAAGGTTCATCCGTGTTGTAACATATGTTGGTACTTCTTTTTCTTTGTTTAGTTGCCAATGAATATTCCACTGTGTGGATATTTCACAATTTGTGTATCCATTTGTCAATTGATGGACATTTGTGTTGTTTCCACTGTTTGGCGATTGTGAATGTGGGATGTTATGAACGTCCATGGGTGTTCAAGCTGTTCTTGGGCATGTAGCTAGGAGTGGATCACTTGGAACTCTACATTTAGCCCTCTGAGGGCCATACAGGTCTTCACACAGAAGGATGTTTTCATCTGGACCATCCCTTTTTTGTGTTATGTTTATGTGCCTGTTGGTGCCAATTGTTGTCATTTCTGCTTCCTCACACCCTTATTTGAGTTAGGGGATATCGAAGGAGACCACCAGCAGACCATCATTCCATGTTTTCATTGCACAAGTGTTCATTGAGCATCTACCATAATCCAGTCTACGTAGGTGCTGGGTTGTATCAGTGAATAAATGATACGTGCCTGCCCTCACGAGCTTCTGTTCTTACCAGATAGACAACAAATCAACATAAAGTCATACACAGTAAAGATAAATTTGAAGTACTGGGTGATGAGTGCTTTGCCCCTGCGACTCTTGAGTTCTGGCAACAGGGAGGGCAGTAGACAGCGCTCCCCACATGAGGAGGAGGAACTGTTGGGTCGTTCATGGGGATGTATGGCCAGAGAGTGGGGCCAGTGATGGGACGGCTCGTAGTAGGATGTTGGCCGTGGACCCTGGCTGTGCTCCTTTAGAGTGGAGCGGGGCTCGCTTTCCCTCCCTTCTTACTCCCCTGCCTTATGACTTTCTCTCTGCATGCCTCCCAGCCTCCTGGCATCTGCCCACATACCCCAGCCTCTTACAATTTTTTGCAGAGAGCTAAGGGCCAGGGTATGGGGAACTGAAGGGTGGCACACTTCAAGGTGTGCATGTTTCTAACCGGCAGCCCCCCTTGGGACACCTCGACTCCAAGCCCAGCAGTAAGTCCAACATGCTGCGGGGCCGCAACTCAGCCACCTCTGCTGACGAGCAGCCCCATATCGGCAACTACCGGCTCCTCAAGACCATTGGCAAGGGTAACTTCGCCAAGGTGAAGCTGGCTCGGCATATCCTGACTGGGAAAGAGGTGAGCGCTGGGCCTGGGGCCATGGCAGCATCTCCCACTGTTGATACCCCAGCAGTAGTGGTAGGGCTACTCCCCAAGGCAGCCTTCTGTTTATCAGGCAGAAATGAGATCTGAAAAGAGAGGGATGCACAGAGGGATAGGGCCAGAAGAAGGTAGAAATATAAAGGAAGAAGCAGATTTGAATCCTGATCTTAGCCTGGTCAAAGAGATAATCTTGGGCTTTTTTGTCTCTTGTGCAGGTAGCTGTAAAGATCATTGACAAGACTCAGCTGAATTCCTCCAGCCTCCAGAAAGTAAGCTCACAGTACATCCTGTCCCTTTCTAAACCTCTGTCAGGAGTCACTCATCTGCTGATCCCATTTGTACCTCCTCTTGAACCCCTGGGCTTCCCAGGTGGCACAGTGTAGGAAATGCTGGTTCAATCCCTGGGTCGGGAAGATCCCCTGGAGGAGGAAATGGTAACCCACTCTAGTATTCTTGCCTGGGAAATTCCATGACAGAGGAGCCTGGCAGGCTACAGTCTGTGGGATCCCAAAGAGTCAGGCATTATTGAACACACACACAGACACTTGAACGTCTAGTTCATATTCTCCGGTTGTTTTGTTCCCACTATCCCTCTCCGTGGCTCTGCTATCTGCAGGGTTTTGTTGGATCCTGTGTGCTGACTTCTGCTTGGGCTTCCTGGCCTCAGACACTGGCTTGTTAGAAATCTTTCTGCCCTTTCCCAGCCCCTCGGCCTACCTGTCTGACCTACTTCCTGCATCTTGTTATTGTCTGGCTTGTGACCAACCTGTATGCAGAAACACGTGTATACAGCCATTACTCGAAACACAAGCAGTTGCTTCAACATCGGGAATGATCCAGGGGAGTGGCTCCAGAGGTACAGGGGTAAGAGGAGGCAAAGGACCCGTCCCTGGATCCTGGGCCAGCTCCATTTCAGAGAACGGGAACGGAGGGCTGGGGTTTTTAGAAACGAACTCCAGTTTCAAGCCTCTGATAGTACATGCAGATTAAGGACAGGTACTCCCAGTTTTCCTTCTCACTTTTAGGCTCCTCCTGACTAACACTTGCAAAGTCATTTGCATGTAGTCTTTGCAGGGTGAGGCTTTTGCTTCCCTTGACTTAAGTGGAAACTGAGGTCTTACTAACTGGTCGGGGAACCCTCCAGGTGGCACCACATACGTAGGAGCGAGGAAAGAAGACTTTCATTTGCAGAGGAGGGACAGCTTACCAGTGACTGGTGGGTGTAGAGCTGGAAACAGCCCTCTCTGCCCGCCCTGGGCTCAGGCAGTTAGGGGAAGGAAGAAATCTCCCATTGGGCTCCCAGAAAGTGGCCTCTTTTCAGGTCCGTCAGATTTCCTCATTCTCTAGATGACCCTGGCTCAGATTTTCTGACCTTGACTGACCCGGATCTTTTCATCTCATGGCAGATTGAGCTTTCCTTTTCATGAGCATATTATGTTACTTGGATTAGGAGAGGGTATAACCTCATGCTAACTGAGCCGACTACAGTGAGATTGGGAAGCTTGGGGCTCGGGGTTGGGAGTTGTTACTGAGAGAGACACTCAGAGAATCAGTGTGGGCTGAGGTGCCAAGGTGTTTCCTATTGTCTTTGTTACCCCTGGGATCCCCTCAAGGTTCTTTGAGTCAACGGAAACGTGGCTGTCATCACCAGGGCTTCCCTACTGGGAGCTTTCCGGAAGGAAGGGAAAGAGGGCTACTCTTGACACGTTGGCTTGGGCCCCACAGAGCAGAAGCCAGCTTGGTGTGGGCCATCTGGGCTTTGGAGTGTCTCAGCCTCCCAGCATCGGCTCAGCCGTCCTATTTCCCACCTGTCTCTCCTCCCTGCCTCTTCCGCCTGGCTGGGAGACACCAGCCTCAGACAAATGTCGCCTGTTAACACACTCCTTGGCCAAGGCCAGACTGATTCTGGCCAAATCACTCTGTTTAAATTTGATCCCAGCAGCAACCCCTGAACGACACACCTTGAAGAAGCTGGCCTCCTCAGGGCTCTAACCAAGCTCAGCAACCTCCGCGCTCTCCTCGGAGGGCACTCTTTGCAGGCGCAGCGAGTGACCTCGGGAGGAACCCTGGCAGCTGCCTTCAGGCCCCGTTTCAGTGCTGCTCCCACTCCTGCCCTGAGGTGGCGTCCAGGACTTTTTGCCTCTTCATCCACTATATCTCCTGGGCTAGGGGAGAAAGCAAGGAAAAACCTGGGCTCTTACAGGAAAAGGGAGTGAAGGTCAGAATCAGGTTCTCAAGGGTTAGAAAACGTGTCTCCCATTTCCTTTCCAGCTCAGGAAAGCTCTGGGACTTCATTAAAGGGAAAAAAAGATAGGTTCACTTTCTCCCCATAAAATATAGCCTGAATTAGGTCTCCATACCTCCCCTCAAAAAAAAAAAAAAAAATCACAACACAGCTAGTTCTGCTCCTTGTGCAAGTGGGAAGGCTTAGAAGTTACCAAAACCCCACCCCCAATTTTCTGGCCCCCGCAGAGGGGATGGGGTTCATTTCTGTCATTTTTCTTTATGGAAATGTATGGTTTGGAGTCCCTGATTTTGTTTCACAAAGAGAGCGTGAGTGTGTGTAGGTGGATTTGATTAAAATTGGCATCAGCTATATATAGGAGTGGCTTCTTCTGTCACCACCCTGAGGCCCAGGAGAAAGAGGCAGGCCCACAAGTGCAGAGCCCTCTGACTTCTGTAAGTCAGAAGATGGTGGGGTCCCCCTTCCGAGCTCCCTGCCCCTTCACACAGACCACGCTGGTGTTTGCTTTGTCTGTGAACCGTGGAAGCAGCTCAGGTTCTAAATATTCATGTCCATGGGCTCACGCTCCCTCCTTGGGAGGCACCCAGCCAAAACCGTCTGCTGTGGGGGGGCTGGATCTGAGTAGACAGTCCCTGAGGGTGCAGGTCGGAAGAGCCCCGCTGTCCTCGCGCTGACCCTTCTTGTTCCCCTCCTCCCCCTCGGGTCCTTCTCATCCCTTGCGGACGGGCAGGGAGGATCTGGACTACCACACTGTTTCTTCACCCTACCTGTTTGCTCTTTTGGAAAAAGCATCCTAGCAATGGATCTGTTTGGAGGGGACCTGAGGGGAGCAAGCTGAGCAGGCATGACCCGTGCTGCTATTTTATTTTCCAGCTCTTCCGTGAAGTAAGAATAATGAAAGTTCTGAACCATCCCAACATAGGTGAGGACTGTCGTCATTCCTCTCCCTCCCCCACCGCGTGACTCCGATCCCACACATAGTCCTCCTCCCTGAGGTGCAGTACCGTCCGGAGTCTTCAAGGATGCGTCTGGGGAGGCCCAGCTCAGTCCGGCTCTGCCCCTGGTGCTCAGGGCTGTTCTTAGCGGTGTGGCTGCCACGAGGGGAGCTTGTCCTCGGGAGAGCAGGAATGGGAGGGGAGGAAATGTTTGTTCTGAGGATGCCCCTGTGCATGTCGGGGCTTGACATGTGGCCCCCTGTAGCTGCTCTGACTCAGAGCTTGGCCTTTTCTCTTGCAGTTAAGTTATTTGAAGTGATCGAGACTGAGAAAACGCTCTACCTGGTCATGGAGTACGCCAGTGGAGGTAGGTATGGAATTGCCTCTTCCTCCTGTGTCCCTGCCTTCCCCAGCCCCAGCCAGCTCTGATGTAGACCCCACTCCTGTCCCTTGCAGGAGAGGTGTTTGATTACCTAGTGGCTCATGGCAGGATGAAAGAAAAAGAGGCTCGAGCCAAATTCCGCCAGGTGAGTGTGACTCCCTCTCTGGACTGTGGGCCCAACCTCTGCTCTGGGGGGTCGGCATACAGGGAGTAGCTGCCCATCTTTCAGCAGCCTCGGGGGGTCGTTTGGGCTTTGCTTATCCATGTGGGAGATTGGAAGTCGGTCACAAGATTGCAGCTCCACCAGCCCGTGTGGCCCACCTTCAGGTGCCTCCGGGCTGACCCCTCTTCCTTCCTTTCAGATAGTGTCTGCTGTGCAGTACTGTCACCAGAAGTTTATTGTTCATAGAGACCTAAAGGTAAGGTATGCTCTCGTCTCCATGTCTTTGAGTCAGGGCTGGCTCGTTCACCTCTGTGAACAGTGACAGAACCATGACACCCTGATGTTCAGGGAAGCTCTAGCCTGTAATTTTTTTGGAGATGATGAGGAAGCCCCTAGGGCTGCTTCTGACACAGGCCTGTGCGACTGGACTTAGGCTCCCATTCCCACCAGTGAGCAGAGAGTCTCTGCCATTTCACCTCTTCCAGTGCTGCCAGGCCTGGCAGCCAGCCGAGGAAACAGGGTTGACTGTCCCACAGCTGCATCACAGCTGCTTTGCAGATGTGAACACTCCCATCTCTGTCCCTCAGATGTTAGTGTGTGAGACTACCTCTGGGTCTTCCCGGCCTCTGAGTCCTCGAAGATGACCATGATTAACGCAGGCCTGACAGGGAAGCTTTCCACAGCTCACAGCCCTCAGCCTTCAGATCCTAGCCCTCACACAGCTCCCTGTGTGAGGAGCAGCCTTTGCTACCCTCCTCCAACCCAGCGCGACCTCTTCACACAGATTGGAGGCTGCCTCCAATCTGTACTTGGAGTACTAAGATTGAAGATGACTCCTGTTTATTCTCTGCCCCTTCCTGTCCGGTGCCTTGGTGTGGTCCACTTGGTTCCCTGACATTTTCCTTCTTGCCTTCCAGGCAGAAAACCTGCTCTTGGATGCTGATATGAACATCAAGATTGCAGACTTTGGCTTCAGCAATGAATTCACCTTTGGGAACAAGCTGGATACCTTCTGTGGCAGTCCTCCTTATGCTGCCCCGGAGCTCTTCCAGGGCAAAAAGTATGATGGACCTGAGGTGGATGTGTGGAGCCTGGGAGTTATCCTATACACACTGGTCAGCGGATCCCTGCCTTTTGATGGACAGAACCTCAAGGTGGAGTGAAGTGCAGGCTTAGATCATTTGAATTCTCATTTCTTCTCTTGGCCTCTGGTCTTGTTCCTGACCTCTCACCTTCACTGCTTTTCTACATTTTTCCTGAGCTAGAGCTTCAGAGGGCTTACAAAAGGTAGCAGCTATTAAAAGGCATTATGTACCCAGTGTAATAATCTCAGTTCTTCTCTTGAGGGCGGGGATAAATTGTATGTTTGTTAACCTCTTCAGGGCACTCAGGATTGCAAGCCTCAGGCTCCTGAAGCCCGAGGGCGTGGGGTATCTGACAGCACCGCCTCTCTAATGAGGGACCTTGTCCCAGGCCCTCTGCCTCCTACCATATTTCATTTCTATCTGACTGGACAGTCAAACTATCAGGAGCCTGGATATTAGGTTTCTTAAACCCTTGGCCTTGGGTGATTTAAATTTCCCTCCTACAGGAGCTGCGGGAGCGGGTACTGAGGGGGAAATACCGTATTCCGTTCTACATGTCCACAGACTGTGAAAACCTGCTCAAGAAATTTCTCATTCTCAATCCCAGCAAGAGAGGCACTTTAGAGGTGAGCAGCCTGAGACCGTCTGGCCAGGTCCTGGGTCCCAAGGAAACCTCCAGGCTGAGTTTTCCCTCTCTGCCCTTCTCCTTCCCTTTGCTCCCCAGCAAATCATGAAAGATCGGTGGATGAATGTGGGTCACGAAGATGATGAATTAAAGCCTTATGTGGAGCCACTCCCTGACTACAAGGACCCCCGGCGGACAGGTGAGGCTGTGCTGGGCAGTGAGGTTGAGCCTGCCTGGGACTCAGGACCTGCCTTAATTGTGTGCCCTCCCGTGCAGAGTTGATGGTGTCCATGGGTTACACGCGGGAAGAGATCCAGGACTCACTGGTGGGCCAGAGGTACAACGAGGTGATGGCCACCTATCTGCTCCTGGGCTACAAGAGCTCCGAGGTGTGTGCCCCGCTCCGTTCCCTTGTGCGGTCCTCTGTCAGCAGCAGCCCTGCTTCTAGCAGCTGTTGAGGGCAGACCTCATCTCCCAGTAGCTGTGTAGCTGTGCTCTCTACTGGCTGATTTTAAGCCCCACCTCTGGGGGCGCTAAGGCCCCTCTGGCCTTTGCTTTCTCTGATGGCCATCAGTGGTTCCACAGGAAAGCTGATGGGGTCGGGCCTGGGTCTGGGCTGCCATACGGTGAGTATATCTAGTTCACTCTGTGTTGGTTAGACAGGGTCTCAGTCCATCTGGGTCAGTTCTTTGTTGCCTCTAGACGTCTGTCTCCATATGTTTTGTGTCTCTCTGTATCAGGAATTGATATAGGAATTGATATCAGGAGTTGTGTCTCTCTGTATCGGGATTCCTGGGTGCTTTGTGTCTTATAGGAGCCTTGAGTCTGTTGCTTCTGCTTAGTGCTCATGTCTGGGAGTGTGCATCTGGGTGCCCGTATGTCCATCCATCGTGTCTGTCCGTCCATCCATCGTGTCTGTCCATCTGGAGGCCTCGTGATTGTTGCTCTGCTTGTCTGGGTCACCATGTCTGCACCTGAACCCATGGGTCTCTGTGGGAGTCAGGTCCTGCTTACCATCTGTGTGTCCCCCTTACACGTGTGGCCTCCCTGCCCCCCTGGTGGTGTCAGACTCCTTTTCTTGATTCTTAGCCTGCTCAGGAGGTATTGGGGGATGTCTCTGAGTCTGAATGCTCATTTTTGCGTGCTCACGCGCACGCATGTGTGTATCTATGTCCTTCTCTGAGGGCAGGGGTCTTTATGGGGAGGTCGGTGTGTCTTTGGCTCTTTGTCAGGGTCTGCGTTGCTACTCGTCTTTCTCTGTGTTTATCTAAATGTACTTTGGTCTTGCAGTGGGCATGTCTCACGGGAGCCCAGGTGGATTTGTGTCAGGCAGGAATGTGGCGTGGAGGTGGGATCATCCACAAGCAGCTCTTCATCCCTCCCTCTTGTGCTCTTGCAGCTGGAGGGCGACAGCATCACCTTGAAGCCCCGGCCTTCAGCTGATTTGACCAATAGCAGTGCCCCTTCCCCCTCCCACAAGGTACAGCGCAGCGTCTCCGCCAACCCCAAGCAGCGGCGCTTCAGCGACCAGGGTGAGTGCTTCCGAGACTGGCAGGTGTGGGGCTCACCCCTCTCCTGATGGGTTCTGGGCGCCTCAGACCCTCTTCAGCCTTATTAGCATGTCCTTGGGCAGCTCACTGTACTTCCCTCCAACTCTGTGAAACGGGGTTTCTGGCAACGCGGTAGGAAGGATGAAACACGTGGTGGGTGTTCAGCGTGCCGCTCTCGCCCTTACCGTTTCCACCGTCCCTCTGGCCCAACAGCTGGCCCTGCCATCCCCACTTCCAATTCCTACTCTAAGAAGACTCAGAGCAACAACGCAGAAAACAAGCGGCCTGAGGAGGACCGGGAGTCAGGACGGAAGGCCAGCAGCACAGCCAAAGTGCCTGCCAGCCCCCTGCCCGGCCTGGAGAGGAAGAAGACCACCCCCACACCCTCCACGGTGAGCCACGCCCCCTCCCCCCTCCTGGCCAGCCCCACCCTCTTTCCCCGGCCCTCACACCCCGCTTCTTGCTCTGGGGCCTGTCCTCTCGAGGCAGCTCCTTCCTTAAGCAGGCCCAGCTCCCTTTGGCTGCCTGCCTGACCTTCCCTCCTGGCCCACTTGTGCTTACTGTAGAAAACCTTGCCCCCCAGAGTCAAAGCAACATCTTTTCTCCCCTCCAACCCCCACCCCCCTCCCACTGCTCATGGTAGAAAGGGGAGGAGGGAGCCGGTTTTGTGACCACTTTGGTTGTCTGTGATACAGCTCTTCCCCTCTTCTCCACAGAACAGCGTCCTCTCCACCAGCACAAACCGAAGCAGGAATTCCCCACTCCTGGAGAGGGCCAGCCTCGGCCAGGCCTCCATCCAGAATGGCAAAGACAGGTGAGAGGCCTGGGCCCTGCCTGCCGCCCCCCCCAGAGCCACTCCCCCAGCGGTGACGTCTGTCAGCAGCACCCCTCCCCTCCCACTCCCTGAAATCCCGTCCTGGCTCTGTCCAGTCCAGCCGTCCACACTCCAGCACCTCCCTGCTCTCCCGCTGTCTCCTCCCTGTGCTCCGTGACTGCTTCTGGTGGGGTACCCAGTGTGACTCCATGAGCATCTCAGCCGCCTTCTTGCTTCTTGACCACAGCCAGGGCATGGCACCTGTGCTGTGCTGGGCATCAGTGCCCCAGGGACCCTGGCTCAAGGCAGAACCCAGAGATGCCCATCTGAAGGGTGTGCACATTGAGGGTGACTCCAGCTATGCCTGTGAGAGCAGAACCCCCCAGCCTTGCTGTCGGTGTTGAGTTCCTGGCTCCTTGTCTTCTGCGCTTAATGAAAACTCCCCTTGGCAGCACCCTGCTCTTTCTGGCGACAGTACATCCTTGTTCTTAGAATTCCTAGCCCGGGGGCAGTGGCCTCCTGTCAGCCTTCCCGCACTCTGGGTTTCCTTCCCCAGGCTCTGGCCCGCTCGCCCTCCTCGCCCTGCCCTCCACCCCCCAGCCTTGCCTCCCTGGGCTCTGACTTGTGCCCTGTTACTGCTTCTGGGCGTGACCTGCATCCTGCCGAGGCTCCCCTCTGGCCCTTCCCGCCCTGCCCTTGCTTCCTAACCAAGCCTTCTGCCCCCACCCGCCCCTAACCCAAGGCCTCTCCGCTGCTTTTGTCTCCTAGCCTAACCATGCCAGGGTCCCGGGCCTCCACGGCTTCTGCTTCCGCCGCAGTCTCTGCGGCCCGGCCCCGCCAGCACCAGAAATCCATGTCGGCCTCCGTGCACCCCAACAAAGCCACTGGGCTGCCCCCCACGGACAGTAACTGTGAGGTGCCGCGGCCCAGGCAAGTGTGCTGGGGCAGCTGATGCACCGCTGCCCTCAGCCTGCCCCTCCTCCACCCCCCACAATTTCTTCCCACCTGGGGGTCCTGCTTTGTTCTTGTCATCTTAGCCACAAGAGACAGCTATCTTCTGCAGCCAGGAAGTAGAGGGAAGCAAAAGTAGCTTACCGTCCCTCTTCCCCTCCAGTTCTCCCTCTCAGAACAGACATGCACGAAGCCGCCCCAAGGCTCCAGAAGGAAGCCTTTTTGTTCTGAGCCTTCCTGGACTTCCTTAGGACCCAGGGACAGTCAGCATCACAGGGACTCAGTCCTTGAGGGCTGGTCAACATTGTCCCCTGGAGGTTCCAGTCTGCCTCGCTCCCAGGGAGCCACTCCTCTGCAGCCTGCACTGCTCTCCACACACAGATCCTTCCCTGCCTCCCTCCCTCCCCGAAGCCGTCTCCTCTCCCCCCACCTTACTGGTGTCCTCAGTGGTCACATCCCTTCCTTCTGTGTCCGCTGTGATGGCTGCCTCCCTCTGCCCTGGCTTCCCCTTCCCCTTTTCCCACCCCAAGGCGCTCCAGCCGCTGGCAGGGGCCGTCTTCTTGTGCCCTGATGCATTTCCCCCACCCCCACCTCTTTTCCCACAGCACAGCCCCCCAGCGTGTCCCTGTCGCCTCCCCCTCCGCCCACAACATCAGCAGCAGTGGTGGAGCCCCAGACCGAACTAATTTCCCCCGGGGTGTGTCCAGTCGAAGCACCTTCCACGCTGGACAGCTCCGGCAGGTGCGGGACCAGCAGAATTTGCCCTACGGTGTCACCCCAGCCTCTCCCTCTGGCAACAGCCAGGGCCGGCGGGGGGCCTCGGGGAGCATCTTCAGCAAATTCACCTCCAAGTTTGTACGCAGGTGAGTAGGGGGCCTAGGGCAGCAGAGAGACTGAGGTCAGGCCCTGCACCTGCCTGGGGGAGGGGATGAGAACACCTGGTGTTAGAGCTGGGGTTAGGTCCCTAGGGGGTTAGAAGTAGCCTCAGGAAGCCTGAGAAAGTGAGTCTTGTTGGCACCTGAGGCGCTCAGACCTGTCCATCCCTCTCAGGCCTCCCCAGCTTCTCATACACACCCCTTGTTCTCTGGCCCAAGCAGATGGCCGATGCCGCCTCCTCTCTAGGAGAGTGTGAACTCAGATGCTAAAATAAAAGCCCCCCTCTTCGCTCCTGGGTTCCCATGGAAACTTATATTTGGTGACGCAGCTGCAAAGTCATGAGGCCTGAGCCAGGCTGGGCCGGCAAGGAGAGTTTCTCCTGGTCTCTTGTCTCGCCCCGTTTGACCTCCTTGCTCCCCACCCAGTTGGTTTTGTCTGTCGCAGTCATATTTGTCTGCTGGGCTGGAGGCGGGGGGAGGCGGGGTGGTGTGCCAGGCTGGAGGCCACGAATTAAGTAACTGCTGGGGGCCTAGGGTGGCTCCCATGCAGCCTGCTGCACTCTTGACGCTTTCCGGTGTGGGAGCCAGGGTGGAGATCCTCTTCATGAGGTTTCTCACTCCTGGCCCCTGATGACCCATAGAAACAGCGCTCCTCCTTGAGGTGCATCCAGCAGTCCCGCCTCGTGGGGTGCTGCCTGTCTCCATCCCCCTGCTTCCTCAGCCATCTTAGCGTAGCTCAGGATACAGCAAGCAGGAGGCTGGAGAGAGTGGGTTTGCCTGCCCTTCCTCCTGTCCTCTTCCTCACTCAGCTAGCCAAGCCAGGCTGGGCCCCTTTCCACCTCGGGATACAGCTGTGGGGCTGCAGGGTGGGGCGTGAGCAGATGGGGGTGTCTGGGACTCTAGTCTCGCTGAGCGGCTCTTCCGAAAGTGGGGGTGACCCTTGAACCTATAAAGCCCACTCCCCACCTGCTTATCCACATACCGTCTTGTTGGTTTTTTTTTTTATTTCTTTTTTTATTTTGTCTTTTTTTGTTTGTTTTTTTAGAAATCTGTCTTTCAGGTTTGCCAGAAGGTAGGCGTTGAGCCCGCTGTGTGTGTGTGTCTGTGTCCCGTGTCCTGCCTCCATCACTAACGCCCCTCTGTGGCTCTTGCGTCCTCCTCCATCTGCTAACCATGTCCGTGTGGCACTCTCTCTGCCATCTTAAAGGGAAGGCGACGGCCTCTGACAGGGTGGCCCACGAGGCCACGTTTGCCCACTGAGGGCAGATGGCTCTGAAAACGATGGGCCCGTCCCCCAGTGAGGGGGACCTTTTCAGGGAATTCTCCCTTTAAGATTGTCTCCTTCCCCTGGTCCCCTGCCCCGGGTTTTGGTCACAAACGTGGTGGGCTCCTCTTCCGGCCGTTTTCCATGTCTGTGCATGCGCTCTGAAGAAGCTCCACCCGGGTCAGAAGTGTGTCTGGGATGGTGTCTCACTCTGGGTCTCCTGGGCCTCCTCTTCCCTGGTGCCCTGAACCGCAGGTCCTCTGGGATGGCAGGACTTCAGGGGCCCTGCGGGGACACTGGGGTGTCCAGGCTGGTGCCTGACGCCTCGGGCACGAGGAGCCTTTGCCTCTCGAGTGGGGCACAGCACCCCCTTCTGGCAGCTCCGTGGAACAAGCCCACCCCTCCCCCACCCCAGCAGGCCTCGGGCCTCCAGCCTTTTCTGGGCTGCATCCTCTCTGGCTGTGTTCTCCAGTTATGGCCTGTGGCTTCCCGAGAGCCAGGAGCTGGGACATCCTGCCCCTGTGCCCTGGCAGCAGGGGAAGATCCTCCCGCACTCAGGCGGCTGCCTTCCTGGGCCCACTCCTGGCTCTGTCGCCCCCAGCCCTGCCTTCGTCCTGTCTGGAGGCCTGGGTGGGCCGCATACAAAGCTGAGGAGCAGGTTGGAGCCCTGGTTCCCCAAGGCCGGCCGCCCAGGCCCTGCTCTGGGGCGGGGACACCTGACAGGCATACGGTGCCCGGCTGACAGACGGCTGAGACAGGGTCTCCAGGCTTTCCTCTTCCACCCACCACTCCCCAGCTCTTCAGTGCATGGCTGGCTGTTGACTCATGGGGCCCCAGTGGGGGCCTGCTCTGCAGGGTGCCTCCACCCACGGGCAGAAGCCAGGTGGGGCCCGAGAGAGCAGCCAGGCTCCTTCCCCTGCTCAGCGCAGGCGCCTGCTCGCAGCGCGCTGGTTTGCGTTCGTGTGTCTGTCGTCTCTTTGTGTTCCTTTTACATGTGCTGCTGCTGCTCTTTCTCTCCTCCGTCCTTGCTCTCCTCTGCACCCCCAGTTCCCCGGCTCCAGGCACCCATCTTCCAGCCAGGAGCTGGAGAAGCCGCTCAGCGGGGCCAGACCTCTTCCCCACCCACCCTCCCAAGGTGTCTGCCCTGCCCTGCCCTGCCCTCCGTCTCCCTTCTGTATCAGCAGATGGCCTGGCAGGCAGGGGAGTTATAAAAGAGGGAGGCAGGCCTGTCTCCAGCAGGCCTTAGGGCCCTTCTCCCTCCACCATCCAGCCCCAGGCACTGAGCCCCAGGCACACTCCCAGCAGGTCTTAGCCCTTTGAGCCTCCAGAGAGATGCCTCTATTTATCCCCTCGCCCCTTCCCTCTAAGAGGACCACAGTTCTGAGACCCAGTCCTGGGGCCCGAGGGCAGGAACCCCTCCCCAGAGCCCTGGCTGTGGGCTGTGTGCTCCATGAGCACACGCACGTCCACACCCTCCTCCCAAGCTCCTCCTCGCTGGCAGGAGGGGCAGCCCTCCCCACCGTGCTGGGCTCCCTGTTGGAGAGGGATAGTCACGCAGCCAGCATGAGGGGCTGCGAGCCACTGAGCCTCACGGCCTGCCAGTGATGGGCAAGTGGCCTTCTGGGCTTGGGTCCCGCCCACCCACCGGTGGCACCTCCCCAGACCCGCCCTCACAGAGGTCCCAGCACTAAACTCTCCCTCGCTCTGTTTTTTGAGGAACCTGAATGAACCTGAAAGCAAAGACCGAGTGGAGACGCTCAGGTGAGAGGGCTGGAGCCGGCGCCGGCCCTGCGCGGGCCACCGGGCTCGCCACGAGCCTCCTGCTCCTCTCTTCCTTCTGCCACACGGCTCTCCTCCCGTGCTTCTGCCCTGTCCCCACCCTCGTGGGGCCTCCCTCTCCCTCAGAGCACCCCTCACCCCCACCGCAGCAGGTGTGGGCCCTTCTCCTGAGATTGGGTAGATTCTGGAAGCAGGAGCCCCAGGCCGGGTGGTTGGGGCTACAGACTCCCACCCCCGGACAAGCTTAGCTCTCGTGAAGCAGCCGCTTCTCTCTGTCCAGTCTGTGAACTGCTCGGGGCTACTGTGCAGTGCTCCCCGTTCTTCCCGGGCCCTCTCCTCTTCAAAGGAAAGCATGGAGCTGTCACCTCATCATCCCTGGCTAGGGGCTGGCTTCTCCTCCCCGCTCTGCCCTGAGAGACGGGGGTGCAGGACTGCCCACCCTGCTCGCCCCGCTCTGCTCCCCTGGTCAGCTCTAACGCTCCCTCTTCCAGCACCGCTGCCTCCGGGGCACCCTCCCGCTGTCCTCTCTGGTCTCAGGGTCCATCTGCCAGGGGGGTGCTCCCGTGGGTGGGACACCACGGCCCCCGCCTGACGCCCGCCTCTGCCCTCTCCGCAGACCTCACGTGGTGGGCGGCGGCAGCAATGACAAAGAGAAGGAAGAGTTTCGGGAGGCCAAGCCCCGCTCGCTGCGCTTCACGTGGAGCATGAAGACCACGAGCTCCATGGAGCCCAACGAGATGATGCGGGAGATCCGCAAGGTGCTGGACGCCAACAGCTGCCAGAGCGAGCTGCACGAGAAGTACATGCTGCTCTGCATGCACGGCACGCCCGGCCACGAGAGCTTCGTGCAGTGGGAGATGGAGGTGTGCAAGCTGCCGCGGCTGTCTCTCAACGGCGTTCGCTTTAAGCGGATATCGGGCACCTCCATGGCCTTCAAAAACATTGCCTCCAAAATAGCCAACGAGCTGAAGCTTTAATAGGCTGCCAGGAGTGGTGGGCGTGGAGGCGGCCAGCTGGACTTAGCTGCTGGGGCCGGCGCTCCGCCCGCCTGGGCCAGACTGCAGAGATGGATCGGTGTGTCTCCCCTGCTGGCACTTCCCTCCCCACCCTGCTCAGTTTTTTCTTCCATGTTTGTGGGGACGGGAGATGGTTCTCTCCCCCTCCCCACAGTTACCCCTGCCCAGATAGCCCCCCTTCCCCCTCTCTCCCACAGGAGGCAAAGGAAGGGGGGAGGGGTGGGGGGGCAGGGCTCCCCCTCGGTACTGCGGTTGCACAGAGTATTTCGCCTAAACCAAGAAATTTTTTATTACCAAAAAGAAAAAAGAAAAAAAAAATTTCCCAGCGGCCACCTTTCCTCCCTGCCCCATTGGGACAGTCGAGACTGGATCTGTGGGGTTTCCCGGGAGGGTGGCTCAGGGCTGGAACACTCTCAGGCAAGAGTGGTGGAGTTCCCTGTCAGGCCCTCCGCCAGGCCCACTTTGGGCTTCTCCCCTCTCCTCTCCTCCTTCCCCTCCAAGCAAACCACCAGAGGTGGCCTTCCCCTGACCTCAGGCCCCTGGGCTGGAGGCCTGGGCGGCTGGGGGCTGGGGCAGGGGTGCTGGCGGCGGCCTGGGGCTGGCAGGCTAGGCGCGGGGCTCGGCCTCCCTCCACACTGTATCCTCTGCCCCTCCTTCCCCAGAGGCTGGGCATTTCCTTCCACAAGCTGCTGTGGGGACGTTCGTTCCCCTCCTCAAAAAGTCTGTGCCATCTTCTCCCACCCCCTCCTGGGTAGAAGGCGGGGCTGACCCCAGGGCTGGGAGAGGGGAGGGGACTGCAGGGCAGATGGGCTCCCCGGCCCCCGGGGGCCGCCCGGGCTGCTAGTCTCCGGAATAGGGACGATGGCATCCTCCTTTCTGGAGAGCCTTTGTCTGAAAGCACAGCCCCCTCGCCAGTCCTCTCCCCGCTGCTCCTCTTCATTGGCATTAATCTGGGCACCAGCTAGTTCCATAGCAGTGACTTCCCTCACCACTCATCTCTCGGCCTTGCCTTCTCTTCCTCACACTGTCGCCCCTCCTCTCAGGAGACACTGCCCGGGGCCTCCAGGGCCGCCTGGCCGAGGCTGCGGAGGGCAGCGGGGCCCGGAGCCTCTGCCCTCCACGGGGCTGGGGGGCAGGTAGGCCAAGGGCCTCCCAGCTTGCCGACCTCCACAGCCAGTGTGGGAGTGGCTGGTTATGGGCGCTTGGCTGGTGGCAGCCGCTGCATCCCTTAATTTATTTCTCTGCTGTTTCTGTTCTTGAGAAATTGGGGGAGGGGGTCCTAAACAGAGGCTGCCTCTACCCTGACCTGAGTTGTACATTTTTTTGTGATGGGTTTTATTTTTTATTTTATTATTTTATTTCTTTTTTTTTGATTTATGATGACTCCACCCCTACTCATCACCCCACTCCCAGGCCTGGCTCCATGGCGTGTCGAGCCCTTGGGTCCCAGGAAGGGGCCTTGCCAACCTCAGCCCTCCCGCCCCAAGCCCTGACTGTGGGCTCCGGCTCCTACCAAGGGCTCCCCCTCCCTCCCCCCTCCTCCTTCCTGCCCTATGGAACAGCCCGGGTGCTCCCAGGGGCCCGGAGGGCAAGGCTTGGCTCCCAAAGGGGGTGGTGGCCGGGGGGCTCCCAGGCGAGGTGGCCCCTCCCCACCCAGCCCCCTCCTGCACTTAGTCTCTCCTCTGGATCAAACACGTAATAAAGAGAATGTTTGGAATCTGAGCTGCCGCCTCCTGTTTCTTATCCCAGCTGGGCAGGGACCCAGGCCCCATGGGCAAGATACAGACCAACCCACCTGCCTTGCTGGGGAGAACGGATTTCTGTCTGGGGCCTGGGGAAAGGACAGTGCTGGGTGGCCCTGTGGCCCCGACAGAGACACTCAGCCTGGGACCCTTAAACCAAAAGAAGATTCAGTGAGCTTGAAGGTTTTATTTTTAAAAAAACATTGAAAAATAAACCCATGTCTGCATATGTTCCCAACCCTCCTTTCTCTAGGTTCGTGGGCGGGGGCGGGGGGGGGGCACCCTCAGAGCTCCTCAGCACTCCCCACCTGGCCCCTGAAGACTGGAGAGCTACCTCTCCGGCCCCAAGGGACCTCTGCCCATCTCCCCCCTCCAGCGCCCTCCCCACCTCACCCAAACTTATTGCTACAAGAAGGCAAAGAGGAAGAACAGCCAACACATTAAACTGTCCTCACCCCCAGCCCCCACACTATGGTCACTACCCCCTACACATGAAGGGCAGGACCAAAGGCCAAGCCCTGGCAGCCTAGGAGGCAGCCGTTCCAGTCCCAGCCAGGAAAAGAAAGTACCCTCAGGCCAGCTCACAAAGCCCCAGACCCTGGCCGGGCTTGGCCACTAGAAACAACGTGCAGAACCCACAGGGCCAGCTGTGCCTGTCGCAGCAGCTCTGGGTCCTTGAAAGACCTGGCGCGAGCTCTAGTCCCTTCTGTCCTTGGTGAAGCCGGAGGTCCCCAAGGACGCCCTGCCGAGGGGTTCTGGAGCCTCTGGTTGGCGGAGAGCCTCGGGGCTCAGAGCGAGGGTGCTGGAGGCTCCAGAGGGGCTCCAATCAGGGTGGGTGGGGGCTGAGGGCCAGGGCGGGCACTGTGGCGGGAGGCAGCCAGGGCAGGGCGGATGAGAGGTGGCGGCGGCTGGTTGGGGGCCAGCCGGGGCTGAAGGAAACGGCCCTGCTGGAGTGGGGGTGGCTGGCGAAGCAGGGTAGGGGCCGTGGGCAAGGGTGGCCTCAGCAGTGGGGGCGGCTGGGACAGCGAGGCGGGGGGTGGAGGAGGGGGCGGCGCAGGGGGCCCCGATCGGGGTCCCGATGTGGAGACGGATGTAATCTGGACCTGAGGGGAGACAGAAGGGTGAGAAACCAGGTTCGAGCAGGCCCTCAGCCCAGCCTTTAAGGACGGAGGTGGTTCCTCTCCTCTCTCCTCTGCAGCATTTCTCTCTCCCCTTCTCACCTCATCATCTTCCTCTAGGGCTGGGGCTGGCAAGGGAGCCCCTCTCCTAGCCTCCTCCATGGGGACCGGGGCTCCAGGGGCCCCATCCTGCTCGGCCTCCCACTCCTGCAGCACCTCCTCCAGATTGAAGCGGCGCCGGTAGCTCACAAAGAAGGTCTTCACCTGGGTCAGAGTCTTGTTCCCAATCACCTCTGCAATAGCCCCAAAGTCTTTGCCATACCTACGGATGGCTGCAAGGGTCAAAAGGGCAGCAGAGTGTGAATACCGCCTTAGATCTAGTTACTTCCCTGATCCTTCCCCTCTGCCCCAGCTCCCTGGGGGGAAGGAGACACTCCTGGGGCCCTCTGTTCTCCCCAGAGCCTCACCCACCTTGTACGGCCAAGAGCTGCTCATCTGTGGTCCAGCGGGAGTTGAACTTGGTATTGGCCTGCAGAGCAAGGCATGGATCCTTGAGGCTCAAAAATAGGGGAACAGAGGGCCTGCTCTCCAAACCAAACTCCCCTTTCTCGCTCTGCCGCCAGCCAGAGTCCCTCCTGCCCCCCTGAACTTGGAAGAGCAGCCTCACCTCAGGCGGGCGGAGTGGATCAATGCCGCCCTCCAGGGCTTGGCGGAGGCTGCTATTGGTCTGCTTCATGCTTTGCACCTGGGAAGGTAAGTCAAGGGAGGGCCATCAAACTCCACGCCAGGAGGCCATCAATAGCAACCCTCACCCAGCCATCTACCTCATCTCATTGCTCACAACCCCTTTTCAAAGACCAGCGTTATTTTTTTTTTTAATGACCAAAAAAGAACATCAAGTTACCCAGAAGCCCAGAGAATGGGGAAGATGGAGCCTTGGCAACCACACAACATCCCTTACAGCTCAGCTGCCCCCAGTCAAGAGTTCCCAGCTGCTGACTGTCCCCTCTCACAGCTCCTCCTTTCCCTGGGCCCCCTACCTGGCGTTTGAGGGAGATGAGCTGTGAGTCAAGGCCTCGAAGCGTGAGGTTGGCAAGGTCAGGGCTCCCCGACACTGCGGTGAGGCCCTCGGGGCTCAGGTACATGCCTTTGGGCGGGCGCCTCCGAGTTCTCAGTGGATGATGGCGGTACTGGGAGCCCTGGGCCTCCTTCTTTCCTGGGCCCGGGCGGGTATTCAGGGGCCGAGAGGGCAGAGGCTGTCAGGGAAAGGAGAGGAGGTGGGCGGTGCAGAGCCCAAGGAGAGGGCGGGCCAGCGGGCGGGCCAGCAGAGCTCTGCCCCCTCACCTCTCTCTTGGGGTCTCCAGCGTCCGGCTCCCCCTCACTCACGGCTCCTCGTCCCTCTTCAAGCTCATCGCTGCTTACACAGGGGCCAAGGAGCGGGTGAGGCAAGGGCTAGGGCCTTCAGGACCACCATTTACCCCCACCCACAGCTTCCCCAGGCTCCCCCCCACCTGTCTTCCTTGTCCTTTCGGCCCCCAAGCCGCCGAGCCTGTCTGTCCATCACACTGGTCCGGCTGCGGGTCTTCTTCCAAGAGTAGTAATACTTCACCAGGCTGGGAATCAGCTTGTCAGGCAGCTGGGGGTAGGGGGCAACCCAAAGGCTGGAGCCCACCTAAGACTCCAGACCCCGGGAAGGCTTATCAGAAGGAAGGGGCCAAGGAACGCCGACAGGGGTGGAGGGCTTTACCATCTGCTGGATCCGCTGGAAGCACTTGCCATGGAAGCCAAAGGCCTGTTCAAACAGTACTTTGTCCTCTACCGTCCACTCATCCGGGAATGGGGTGAAGTTGGCCAGGTCAGCCAGCGACTTCTCTACGTCGTGTTTATGCCACAGGAGCATGCCCAGTGCCTGGCCCAGGAGACAGGACTCAGGCTCGGCTGCCCCCAGCACCGTGCTGTCTCCTTCCCGAATCCCTGCGGGGCCGAGGCTCACCTGCTCGATGTTGTAACCGTGCTTCTCCTTGGCCATCGCAATGTACTTGTCAACTGCAGGGGCGGGAGGAGCCAGCTCTTGGAGGAGGGGTTACAACTCCTAACCCAGGCCTGTCCAGACAGGGGTATGCCCCCAGGGACTAGGCCCCTGACCCTGAGCCCCAGGGCAGGGGTTGAACCCACATGTCTCGGCCTCTAGCCCACTTCTGAGAAGAGCCGGCCGGCAGCTGACAGGAGAACCAGGCCCCCAGCTCCCAAGGGTAGGCATGAACCCAGCCAGGGTCCCACCCCACTCACGCTTGGCATCTGACACACAGTGGTTGGGGGACCACACCAACATCCCCTTCAGCTCCTTGTTACTGTAGCGTGCGGGGCTCTCTGAAAGGCAAAGGACACCCTCACCCAGGTGGCCCTGGCCTGGACCCATGGCCAGAGGGCAGCAGAGTGAGGCCTGTGAGGTGAGGCCCGAGGGGAAGGAGGGGCAGAGAAGCAGACAGGAAGGCCGAGCAGGAACTAACTAACCATGACACAGGGCTGGCCACCCACCCCCGCCTGCCCCACCAGTGGGCGCCAGTCAAGGGCTCCCCCAGGTGGGGCCCAGGGCCAAGCCACGGGCCCTCAAGTCCCCTCCCTTCACAGCCTGTCCTGCCACTCACCAGGCTTGCACTCCGGAATTACGGCCTGGTAATTGGTTCCAACGCGGATCATGCTGTCTGTGGAGCCAGGGGAAGGCAGTTAGGACTCCAGGGAGGGAGGGCGGGAGGATGTGGCGGGGGAGGTGGCTGGCCTGGAGTTCTCCTTCCTGACCACCCAGGGCCCCCACCTTTGAGGAGGCTCACTTTTCCCTGACCATCTCCTCAGTTGCCCTCAGTCACAGAAGCAACTGGAAAAGGGAGAGACTTGCCTAGCCATAGCCCTGGGGGGGGGGGGGTCGGCGTGGTGGGGGGATAGGGGCCAGTTTTAAAGCCCAGGCCCAGCAGAGCCCTTTGTTCTGACTTGGTGGGGGGGAGGGGGGGTTGGAGGGCTGCCCCTAGACCTGGACCACAGCCCTGCAGGGAATCCAAGGCTCCTCCCCACCACATGAGCCTCACGGCTTGGTGTGGAGGTGTCTTTCCAGCCCCTGCCCTGGCCAGACCTCAGTCCCCTGCAAGGTGGTAAGGCATGAGGAGCCTAAGCTGTGAAGGGAGGGACGCCTGAGTACGTCAGGGGCTGAGGGCAGGGAGGGGGCAGGCAGGGCCGCCTCCCGGCAGCTAGGGGCCCAGCCTCCAGATTCCCTGTGCCGGCTTGGGGGCAGCAAAGCAGAGGCTCCGATTCAGGGAGGGCAGGAACCATGCCCAATAGTGCCCCTGGGGTCGGCAACTCTCCCCCGCGCCGCCCCCCCACCCGGCCGGTGCGCCTTTAACCCCAGGCTGCCGGGCTCACCGTGCGAGTGCTCCTCCTCGCTGCTGTCATCCTCCGAGTGCGGCTGTCCGCCGTTGGGCGCCGTCTTGGCCCGGCTGCGGGACAGGATCCCGGAGCCCGCGCTCGGTTTCTCCATCACCGAGGGCATCACCCCCGCCCAGCTGCCCCGGGGGGCGCGGGAGCCTTCGCAGAGCCGCGGTGGTTGCCGCGCTCGCCCGGAGTGCCGTGCCCGGCCCGGCCTGGAGGGGTCGCCACTGAGGCTAGGAGAGGCAGGAGGTCAAGCGTGGCTAGGGTCCGGCGGGGCAGAAGCCCAGCGGGCAGCCCGGCACTCTCCGCGACCCCCAGAGGTGAGGGGCGTCAGAAAAGTTTGTGGAGAAGTGGGGTACGCGGGGGAAGAGCCGCAAGGGCCGGTGCGGCTGCGGCGCGCTCGCTCTGTACGCCCCCACGGAATTGGGGGCTCCCCGGAGAA